TGGTCTCTAAAAATACTTTTCTTCAAAATAATTATTTTAATATATAAAAAAATTAATTTAAGTTCATAACAAATAATTTTTTTGACCATATAAATTAAAATTTAGATTGTTAAAGCAATTTATATTGTAGTGCAATGTTATTTTTAATTATTGATATTTTTTAAAAAATAATTTAGATACACAGATTAAAATAAATTAAATAATTAATTACAAGAAATAAAAGGCTAAGAAAAATATTTTTAAAAAAGCTCTCATGGAATAAAACCTTGTGAGTTGTGAAAGCACTCTAGTTAACAATTCCAAAATACATTCATATTTCATATAATTTATATAAAGAGATGACTATAAAGTTGTTAGAACTGTACCTCTTTTTTTTTTTTACTGAAGTGAATCCCCTTTTTGTGAGAATTTGGTTCAATACAGCATAGGGAGGACAAAATATAAACATTAAAGACTCAAAATATGTGACACATTATGGTTTGGAAATGTAAAAAACGAGGCGTTACTCAATTTTAAATGAAAATCTAGATCCATGACATTTAAAATGTATTTAGAGAATCTAAGTAAGGGTCCCACACGGTTTATGAGACTCAAAAATCTTGAAAATTTAAAATGTATGTTCTTGTCTTGTAATGACGAAGGTCAGCCTCAGACTCAGTTAAGGGTTTTCTCAAGTAACATACTGAGATCACTTCATCTGATGCAAATTATTTGGAATCTCGTGACCACTTCATCTAGAACATTCTCCTCATACACACCAAGACTCACCAATCTTACTTCTTTTCATAACTTGGATGGTAAATTTGATTTGGAGTTGTACTGAGAAACTAACAGTTAACCAAATGGGTTGGTTCAGCTATGGACAAAGTCACATGTTGGTTGGTTGGTTCATGATTACTTACAATGTGTTGGGCTGAACAAATAATGTCAGTTTAAACTAAAATTTCATTTGGTAGCGCAGAGATAAAGAAAACCGCCGCGGGAAAAACAGGGACAAACTCTAAATATTTTCCACTCAATATATAAAATAAGGTTCAAATATTTTTTATTCAATATTTTCACTCATCTTATTTTTTAATCTTATAATTTAAAATAATTATTTTTAAATTATTATATTTATCTTTTCATTCTTTTTCAATCTCTATAATTTAAGACAATTTTTTTATTTATTATATTCTATCATTATTTTAGCCTCTATTGTTATTTTTTTTTTTTTTTTGATATTGTTTGTTTTATATAAAGATTTTTAATTTTTGTAATGGTATAAAAAATGATATCTCAATAGGGAACTTCATAAATGAAATTATAAAAGAGATATTAAACGTTAAAAAATTTAATTTAGAATACATTCAACAAAATAAAATATTTAAAGTTAAATTGTTATCCAAATTAAGAGATAATATTACAAAAAGAAAAATTAATAACAAAGATTAAAATATAAAAAATTACAAATATTAGAACTAATTTTTTTATCAAACTAAAAATGATTGAAAAGATTAATATAAAGACTAAAAATATTTATTTCATATAAAGGACTTTTAGCTATAAAATAATATTATAATATTTTCTCTATTATTTTTCAAGCCCAAGAGATATAAATAGTGTTTTCTCTTTAGATTTATCATTCAAATATAACAATTTTTTTTTAATCAAAATAGGAATGACAATGATAAGCTACGTTTTCTTAGTTCTTACTCGTGTTCGAAAAACATACATATACAATTTTATATTTGAGTAATATTTTAATCTTCATTACTATATTTGATTATATTTCCACACATAAACAATACTTTGTTAGAAGTGGCATGGCAGGATGACGTTGAGTCAATAATTCATTCAAATTTATAATACAACTCTTTTCTTCAACATACAGCAACACCATATTACTCAAATATTATATTTATAAAAAAAATTACTTATATGTTTTTCAATATATATATATATAATATGAAATTTTCATTCACATTTATACATTAACAATCTTTCTTTCATGTTTCATCCATGAATAACCAATGAACTTAGCCATTAATTATTACTGATTGTTAAATTATTAATTTTGATATTAACTATTTAGAAATATAAAATTAAAAACATGGAAAACAATTTGGTTAATAATTCAATATAAACTACATAAATGAATTTGATATAACATATCAACTTAAGAAAGCATCGATTTTGATATTTCATAAGTCTTAGACAAAATAATAAATTAGGACCTCTTAAATATAAGAATTGAAATATAAAAATATATTTTTTTAAAAAATAGATGCTTAATTTTGTTAAAAAAATTATACATCTTATTATATTAAGTACGTGATATAATTTTAGAGAAGAAGAATATATTAATAATATATAGTAAGTTTTCTGATTTAAAAATAGTTTCTCAAGTATAAGTACTTATTTTATTAAGTTCAACTTTCATTTTTCCTTTACATCAAATTTAGAGAGTGAATCTAATATGTTATTGAGTGAATTTTTTTATTTCAAAATATTTTTTTAATATATTTTTCAGTGTCATTGTTTAATACAAAACTGAATGAAAGTTTTTTTATAAATAAAAAATAAATAAATTGAATGAAAATTAAAGCATAAGTATGTAATCCTATTTTTTTAACGTGCATATAAAAATAAGACAAGAAATATTTTTCTTGAAATATGAGAAAATAAACAAGAAATGTTTTTAATTTTTTTCTTAAAATATGAGAAATTAAAAAAAAAAGAGTCCCTCCCAATTAAGGACCTAGGTACCTGTACTTTTAAACTATTCTTAAATTTGACTCTGTTTAATACCTTAATACAGAAGATATATAGGTTTTTTTAATTTTATTTGTATGTTAATTAATTAACCCATTCATCTCTATCGAATGTAAAGTTCTTATTGACAGTAACTACTTAATACCAAGTCTTTTCTTGCATTTTCATTGAACATATTTTAGACAGTCAATTCTCCTTCTAGAGCATAATTGCTTAATGAAATCACACTAACCTTTATCGACTTTTGGATAACTCAAAAGTAGCAATGCGTGTAATTCATCTTCTAGTACTAGCTTTATGAAAACCAACTAATTTAATTACCAAGTCTTGGAAGTCATTCAAGTATTCTGCAATTGATCTCCCCTTCTGTACTTTAATTTCACTAACTTTTTAATAACAAAAGCTTTTACTAGTCGAATCTTTTTTATACATTTTCTTCAATATTTTACCATTGAGTTTAGGATTTGTTTTTGTGGCCACATTGTTGAATACACTAATTTCCAACCATTACCTGATTATATTGATGACCCTTGATAAGTATTGTACAATCACGTGTTACAAGACAGTGTTATGCCACATTTTTGCTTTTTGAAATGCAACATCTGATATCCAAAACACAGTATAATCACTTTCTCAACCAAAACACCAAGAGGAATACAAAGGAGAAGTGTTGAAACCAAACATTACTCTGATCACAGACTAGCCACACATGATAAAAGTTTGTTATTAGAAAAAACAATTACTATATATCTGTTGTCCAAAATAAAAAATTAATATAAAATAGACATTCTCCCAACTATCAGCTGAATCCTAATCCAAACATTCATTAATCAAGCTTTTATCACATAAAATTAATGTTCCATAACTCACATCAATTGCATATTTATTTGTGGTTATATTATTATATATCATTTTTGTAAAGATGTTCCTACTTCTCACATATATGCATATAACTTTTTTGGAGAAAATGAATAATTAATTTAATCTCAAACTATTGTTAATTCAGTTAATCGTTATTGTTGAAACAATAGATAAAGTTAATAAGTAATTTATTTTTATTAAAACCATAATAAAAGTGTTATTAACATTAATATTATATTTTTTAATATTTCTTAATAATAAATAAAATAATATTATTTTTTTAATAAAAAAATTCACTCTTGATTATTTAACAATTATTCTAAAGTTAACTTTAAATTATAAATATTAATTATTTGTCTTTAAAGTTAGTCGTTGTCTAAATTCAATTAAGTTTCTAATGTTAGTGACTAAATTAACACTTTAATTTATTAAGAGATTAAATAACAGTAATTTTCAATTTTGATGATCAAATCTTTAAGATTTAATGATATTAAGGATTAATTCTAATTGATACTTAAGTTATGTATTTAATTGTTATAAATATTAAGGATCAATTCTAATTGATAATTAGATTATGTATTTAATTAAAAAAAATTACGAATTTTGATTTTCATCAATAATTTTTTTAAAATCACTAAATATTAATTTTGTCCTTATAAAATATTTTTTTATTTTTGTAAAATAAGTGAATTTTGATTTTTTTTAATAAAACTATTTTTCTTTTATTTTTATCTTTGTAAAATCTAAAATCATTAATGTAGTATTACTAAAATTTTAGATAGCATATGAGATGAAACAAACAAGTAATTAAAAATAATTACACAATAATAATTATAAATTTTAGAAGGATAAAAAATTAAAAAAAATAAAATCAAAACTTATTTATTTTATAGAAATTAAAAATATATATAAGTATCGATATTTATCATGTTAAGATATTAAATTAACAATAAGATGATTTTTTTAAAAATTTGTTAATATTTTTTTATTAAATGTGTTAATTTGTTAAAAAAGTTTCTTTTACTGCAAATTAAGTATCTTTCATGAATTTTTAAGAGATAATTTCGTTTAAATTGATTTGAAAAGATAATAATCTTAATTTTTTTGAATAAATTAATAATTTTTAAAAGAAAAAGTGTTAAAGAGTAATTATCTTTTATAATAAATTTATTTAAACGTAATAAACACTTATATATACCTATGTATATATTTTAACATCAACCTGCTTTATTTTAATTTTTAGAAGTATTAATATAAGAAAGAATCTCTCGAAGAAAAAATAAATAAGAGAAGATTTTTTTTTATTTTTTTATTTAAGAACAATGGAGGCTGACGTGGATAAATATGATTGGATGACACACGTGGTAATAGAAAGTCCTGGAACAGAAAAACTAAGAAGGGTTGTTTCTTCCCTACGCAGATTCAGAGTGCGAAGTGTGAGAGAAAGACAATGCCAAAGTCTCAATTTAGAACCCTATTTTTCATTTCTTTTCCTCTTTTGTTATTTATCTTCAACATCGCTCCTTCATACGCTCTCTATGGAGCCTCTTCACCCGTGCTCCAGCTCACTCCCTCTAACTTCAAGTCCAAGGTGAATCAAATTTAAATTTTCAACATTTTCTCCATTGCCCCATTTCGTGATCCCACTGTATTTACCATTATTTGCAATTGGGTATTGCGTAGAAACGTCAAATTTTGCATCTTTGCACTTGAAATCCATGTGGGCATGTAGATATCTGTGGTTTTGTTATATGATAATTTTGTGATTACAGTTTTGATTGCTGAATCGAGGTACTTGACAGGTTCTGAATTCAAATGGAGTTGTTCTTGTTGAATTTTTCGCCCCATGGTGTGGACACTGTCAAGCTCTGACTCCAATATGGGAGAAGGCAGCTACTGTGTTGAAGGGTGTAGTTACTGTGGCAGCACTTGATGCTGATGCTCACCAATCTTTGGCTCAGGTTTTTTTTTTTGTTCATCACTTCATTAATGATGACATTTTTTATTTGATTAAATATTCAAGTCTGTTAAATGGAGACTTTGTTGCATGTGTCGTTTGTTTCTTGCAATCAGCCTTTTGGGATTATGAAGATGCATTTTTATAGGCTTTAATTTTTACGTATGATATGCCTTTTTGTGGATCAAGCATGATCAAAACACAGTTCTGTTATGCATAATCATTTGTCCTCTTTTAGCTGTTTCAAATAATCGAATATGGCTAATTGAATTGGACCTCGCCACCGGAGCCATTTTAGATAATTTATTTTGTTTTTATCATTTTTATGGCATATCAACATGCAAGAAATATTGTGCGTTAATTTATTTATTTTTCCTTTTGGATCTAGCCCCAGTCTCTGTATTCTCTGGAGATTCTTTCTTTCCCTGTTTGTTCATATAATCTGTGTCATGTTTTCATGACATTCATTTAATCCTTGTAGTTTTTTTCAGTTATGATTCACATTTTTGGCTGTTTTCTTCATTTGTTATTGTAACTTTACACTGGAAGTTTCAAAAACATTAATATTTGTGCATGTGTGTGTGTGTTGTTTTTCCCCTATTCCCCACAGGAATATGGAATTAGAGGATTTCCAACTATAAAAGTGTTTGCACCTGGAAAACCACCAGTTGATTACCAAGGAGCCAGAGATGTCAAACCAATTGCTGAATTTGCACTTAAACAGGTTTGTTGGAAGATTTTTTAACCTTTTTGCCACTAAAGTTTCTTAATCTAATATATCTGATAGAGTGGATACACGTCCGCTTTTCTAACAAACAAAACAATTTCTTGTATTTCTATGAAAAGTTGAATGACTACATATCATTTTTGTTTATTTCTAGTCCTTGTTGTCTATTGTTATAGGAACTAAAAGGTAAAATTTGTGAAATTATATGGACTAAAAGAAAACAATAATGGTATGTATAACTATAAGGATTAAAATGGAATGTTTTTAATTCTATGGTTTAAAAGGTAAAGTTAACAAAAAACCACTCACATTCAATAGTGTCTTGTATTCATGGTTTGCATGTTTTATTGGCTGATGTTTGATATGTTGTTGTCCATTGGAAATTTTCATTTGAATAAATAAATAAATAAAAATCATAATTGACAGGCTATAGTGTGATAATTCATCGATTAATTTTTTTGATTTGTTACTCATTGTTAGTCCTCTTCCCGTGTTCCTAATATACAGTCTTTTTTTAAAATATCCAGTAAGTATTTTCTCTGCATATACAGGTAAAGGCTCTTTTGAAGGATAGGTTAAATGGAAAAGGAAAAGCAACAGGAGGATCAAATGAAAAGACAGAAACCAGTTCTTCAGTAGAATTAAACTCTGGCAACTTTGATGAATTGGTCCTCAAAAGCAAAGAACTTTGGATTGTGGAATTTTTCGCACCTTGGTAAGTGCTGACTGTGTTCCTAAATCTAATGCTGCATATGGTGTTCTATTACCTGACTGAACCTAAAGTATTCAAAAGGTGTGGACTTTGTAAAACGTTATCTGCACGTCATATTTGTAGCTCTAATAACATTTATCCTCTTTTGTTTCCAAAGGTGTGGACACTGTAAAAAGTTAGCTCCTGAGTGGAAGAAAGCATCCAATAATTTGAAAGGGAAGGTTAAACTGGGCCATGTTGACTGTGACGCTGAAAAGGTAGGCTTATATGTCTATATATTTGATAAGAACTAGTCAAAACTCCAATGGTGGTGATCAAAATGGTTACTGTATGACTTTTCAATTTATTTATTCTCCTCTTGATAAGGTTAAGACTCTTAAGTGCAGTTTTATTTTATAATTCTTAATTATGCTCTTTAGTTTATATTATTCTGACAGGATATTTGTGTTATCAGTCTCTAATGAGCAGGTTCAAAGTTCAAGGATTCCCAACAATCTTAGTATTTGGTGCTGATAAAGATAGTCCTATTCCTTATGAAGGTGCAAGAACTGCCTCAGCTATTGAATCATTTGCATTAGAGCAGCTAGAAACAAACATTGCTCCTCCAGAAGTGACAGAGCTACACAGTCCAGTAAGCATTTTCTTTTCCATTGGTTTGGAAGAGATGATACAAGATAATGGATCTTGCTAACGAGAGTGCTTGATTATCAAACATTTAATATTAGATATATATTCTATTAAATGATTTCAGTTATTAAAAAAAAGCATTGAATGGTTTTTTCAATATAATAAATGCTTTATTTTCTAATTAACACCTTTTGTTTCATTTCCTTAACTCGTGCTTTGCCTGAGATAATCAACGTGAACCTTCCCTGCAGGATGTTTTGGAAGAGAAATGTGGTTCTGCTGCAATATGTTTTGTTGCCTTCCTTCCTGACATTTTGGATTCCAAGGCTGAGGGGAGAAACAGATACATTCAGCAGTTATTATCAGTTGCAGAGAAGTTTAAAAGGAGTCCATACAGGCAAGTAAAAAGTAAATCTTTGTTTAGATTCTACACTTCACTATCAGTCTACGATTAGTCTCTACATATCTAAAATTGTTATTGGTGAAATTTTAACATTTTTTAATTGAATTTTTGTCGCGGATAGTTACGTCTGGGTAGCTGCAAATAAACAACCAGATCTTGAGAAGCATGTGGGTGTTGGTGGGTATGGTTATCCAGCTTTGGTGGCCCTCAACCTTAAGAAAGCTGTTTATGCTCCTCTCAAGAGTGCTTTTGAACTTGAACATATTATGTAAGTCTGTTCTTCTAACTTTATGATAAAATAGTAAACATTACTGGGAAGAACACGTCTTTGAATATTATCCACTTATTTGTTTCAGAGAATTTGTGAAAGAAGCTGGACAAGGAGGCAAAGGAAATTTGCCACTGCAAGGCACTCCAGCCATTGTAAAGACAGAACCATGGGATGGAAAAGATGGAGAAATAATTGAGGAGGATGAATTTTCTCTTGAAGAACTAATGGGGGAAGATCCTTCAAGCAAGGATGAGTTATGATCAATTAAGATGGGAATTATACCAAATTAAAGTTTCTACCACCGATTATTAAAGCTAGCAGGCTAGGCGTTTCACATGATGATTGTGCTCACTGTTCTGTTTTTTATCCATGTCCAAAGTTAAAGACCAGTCTAGTGATGAGTGATCTTATGAGGATTTTGATATGTCATTCAGTGGTTCTGATATGTCTGAGAAAAATGTTAGCATGATGATTCCATAATTTTTTCCCCCTATCAATGAGCATTCAGCCAACACAACAGTTTCAGACTTTATAACAAAAGATTTTTTTATCTGCAATTTGTAAATAGTTAAGTTATTAATAAATAGGGTAATGCTATTGAGATCTAAATCTTTATTTGTAAATCGTTAAGTTGTTAATTAATAGGGTAATGCTATTGAAATCTAAATCTTTGGTGGATCTTTGTCCGTAGAGATAGCAATGGAGTGCTAACCTCCTGCCACCTGTCCAATTAGATGAAAACTTGTTGCATAAATATTCCCTAAATGAGTATTTACAGATTTTATAAATATTTGTAGGTGTTTATAAATATTTGTTAAAATATGATTATTATTATTATTTTTATTTATAAAAAAGAGATAGAAATAATAAAACAAAAAATTAAAACATTGTACTGTACATAATTTCCTTGACATCATAATTAATATGAACACAAATCAGTACTGAAATATATGTCCCCTAGCGTTTTATGAGAAGAGAAAAATCATTTTACTTTAAAGATACCCGTTTAGCTATTATATCTAATTAGTTGCAAGTAGCAGCACTCAAATTATCTTGTCATCCCTAATTGCCCCTTAGAACAGGTTACAAGGGAACTGAGAACTCCTTCGCATCCCCACCGCAAATGAATTTAATTTTTTGCATAGATCTATGATTAGGTTTTTATCTCGTTAACCAATGTTATTTGTAACTAATAATTGTCTTATCTTTAACAAATATAGGTTAGATGTAGCATTTAAGCTAGACGAAACATTTTCCTTGTTAGGTCTTTATCCCTAGGTTGACTGGCTTCCTAAATCTTTTAGCAACACGAACTTGACTTCAGATTATTCATCCTAACAACAAAAAAGGCAAATTCAATGACGAGTAATTTTGATAAACACTTTCATAGACATTTGGATTAAATTTGAATAAAATCTATAAATCATTTAAATCCATTTGTGGCATAACTGTCATATTGGCAATGGTACACTGTAACCAAATGTAATATTTTTGACGTATTAATACGAATCACAACACTGGACCACAATAGTTTATTTATCTGCATCTAAAAATGGTCTAACTGAATCTGCCTTCATCTATCTACCATTAATTCATATCTGTTTTTCCTATCAATGAACAACAATTAGGATGCTCTATAATCGAAACGAGGTACAAGTCTGCACCAAACCTCTCCCCACATTTGCTTTAAACGTAAAAGAAAAATGTAAAAGACTATTCTACAGCATAGACTGATGTCAACAAAACCATCACGGGGAAGCCTCCTCATCAGAAAATTTATCAGCGCTAATCAGCTTCAAATCTGCACTTTCTGTAATATTTAGAGCGGCAGCTCAAACTAAGCAAGCTTTTGCGTAGGTGATCGATCATCTCTGAATCTCAAACTCCAGTGTTCTTTGTGGTTTATAAATGTAATGGGAAGTTATATGAATCCTAAAAGCCCGCATTTTGTATCCTCCATAAACAATCTTTTCTTAAAGGTGAGTCTGTAAATATAGCTTTAATGAAATCTCCCACCTACAAAAAGATCAACAATCGACATTTACGGAATATAACAAGTGAGAAGGCATGCAAAGAAAAGGCTCATCAAGTACGATTCTAATACAATATTTTAAAAAATTGCATGTAACATAAACAAGAAGACACTAAAGAAATAAATATATCACATTTGACATCATTTTTAATAGAACAAAACATCCTGGTCAATCATATGTAATAAATCACTCAAACAGTTGTTTTCTCCTGTAGTAGCAATTTGATCCACAATTTTTTTCCCTTTAAAACAAGGAGTATTTGATTTGGAATGAGAAGGGAAAAAAATCAACCGCAGGAAAAAAGGAAGATTGATAATAACAAAACCGATCACATGCATATACAGAGAAATTCTGGGTGAAACAAACGGTAAAAAGGTACTCTAAAATGAGAACGTCTCTAATGTGAGCAAGGGTGTATTCAACCTTTAATTGAAGTTAAAATTATGATTCACTTTAAATTAAATGAAGGGTGGACATATAGCTTTATTTAAGATAAGCTCTTCAGGGGAGACTTGTCCAAACAAATGGTTTGAGCTTTAATTTGCAAGCAAAACCTTCTTTTGGCTTTCTAAATTATGATAATGTACAAATTAGATGATTGAAAAATTTGGTTTGAAATTATTAGAACGTTGTAAAGAATAACTGGAAAGAGAAAGTCAGATTGAAGGCTACATTAATGTGTTTGTCAAAGAGATATATAGTAAATATATATAAACACCAGCCTTTCAGGTCACATTGGCTGATTGAAGCATTGACATAAAATCACAATCCCAGGGCAGTGTTTAAAAATAATTAACACAAAAATGAAGGAAATAAAATATATTGTCCCAAGAAGGCCAAGAAATAAAGTCATCAATAATCAAATAATACCTCAGTTATTGTAAAGCCACAAGAGAGCAATTCTTTACTCTCCCAAGATGATGTAATGGATTTTAAAGGCATATCTAATAATTCTGTGACAAATGAAAGACAAAGAGGTTAGTTGTCAATGGATGAGTCAATGATAATCCAACGAATATCTTTTAAAGAATAAACTAAGAAGATGCCACTGCATACCAGATAGTTTACGGATTTTACGTAAGGAAGGGATAAATTTTTCAAGAGACTCTGCAGGCAACTCATGCAAATTCTGCTCTCCAGGGCCTAAGGACTCAAATAATGACGACAGGTTTTCCAGCATTAAGTGAACAAGTCTTTGTAGCTGAAAATGAGTAGAATAATGCTTAGACAAACTACTAATGAAATACAATTGTGCTACTACAAACATTAATTAGTTGACTTATGGTATAAATTCTACCTGTAAAGTCTCCTCAGCAGCTATGTCATCTAATAGAAGTATATCTCTAGCAATTCTTGAGAAAACTGACTCTAGGACCGTACACATGCTTTTCCTGTAAGTTGAAGGCAGCAAAAGTGGCTCCCATATGATATGTACTTTTTCCAGAATGAAAACAACCTAATCAAGTACACTCAGTTTCATGTCATTTGTGAAACTAAAAAGACATAAACTAATACTAGTAACCTATAGTAACAAATCCACCCGACCCTGTAGGTTGGGTACAGAAAAAAGACAAAAGGAAGTAAGGTAAAGTGTAATGTCGACATTATACAGACAAGAAAATTACCTGGTCAATGCTGAATTTAGCTGACTCAAATCGTTGCATCTGATGAGTATTCTGAAATCCATCAGCACCATTTATAGCCTATAAATATGGGCAAATATGAGAAAGTACTAGATCAGTAAAAAAAACCTCAACTATAAGTAAGATATCGTTAGATGCTTCAAGCATTTTAATGAAAGCAGTACCTCCTTCAAATTATAAATAACAAGATGAACTTGTCTCTGCAGTATTTCTTCTGCGAATAGCTGAAACCTTGGAGCCAAATCAATAAAGACAGCATGCTCCTTCATAGAACTTGGAAAGTCTGTTCGATACTGAGAAAAGAGCATCCAAATGCATGAGCCAAGAAAAAAAAAACATGATGTAAAATAAACAAGGTTACATTGTATGTTTGCCTTGACTTTTCATTAATTCCAGTAATGTTTTAAGCAAATGCTACAAACTACCATTAAAACAATACATAATAAAGATACATTAGGAATAAAGAAACTGGATTTTTTGGATAAAAAATAGACATTTTATTTTAAATGTTGTGTATTTACTTCATCCTTAGTTATTCAAGTATTTATACCTCAAATGCAAATCCAAGTATCTCCTGGGAGAGATAAAGACAGTCATTATGCATCAGAACAGCTACTTGATTGATGCCATTGAGCTGCCTCTCTAGCTTCACAAGTCAAAAACATTAAGTTATTACTGTAAGCTGAAAGTATACACAGACAACTAACACCCAAATAAAGTAGTAACATTGACACGGAAAACAACTGCATAAAGAAAATAAATTCTTCACAAAAAGATTGGATGTCATTTATAGGTCATCTCAGCCAATGTTCAGGAAAGGTATAAATACTAGTATAAAGGACATTACTCTAGAATCAATAATTATATTGACGATAATGTAGTGTTGCTCATTAAATTCACCCATAAAATCAATCCATGATAAAAGGAATACTAAAAAGCAGTGCCACTGCTAAACAAGGGCTAACCTTGACAGGGACAACTACTTCATAAAGAAGTATAGCATTTCTGACTGTGTGATAAAATTCCAAAGCAACTCTTGTAGATGACAGGCAAACATCCTGGACAAATATTCATTTAAAAAGATCAGCTTCACTGTTAATATAAAAATTATTGTAGGTCAAACAATATTTGGATGGTTTAATAATCAAACAATTATTATTACAGTAATGGTAATAATTATCTGTGTATACTTTCACACTGAAAATACTTAAATCTTAATTAAATTAAGATTATTTGAATGGTTTAATAATCAAACAATTATTATCACAGTATTAGTAACATGAAAAAAAAAATTCACTTCGTCATCAACTGTCAGGTTATCAAATAAAATCATTTTAAGCCTAGACAATGTAACTTCAATGCTATACAACAACGTCAACATCAACAATAGCCTTATCCCACTAGCAACTATGTGAATTTGACTATATAGATTACACTACACCATTGGACTCTATTAACCACCATCATGTATTTAGGGATTTTCCAAATGTTATGGCACTATTCCTTTAACATCCTTAACTATATATAATTCACAGGTATTTGTCAGCAGGACCAATTCTAGATGCGTGTTCAATTCTAGAGTGAAAAGGTTAGAACTACTGGGGAGGGGGGAGGGGAGTTTACTATTTTGTATACTTCCCCTTCAATTTATCAGCTGTATAACAAAAGCAGCAATTGTTTCAGTTAAGCCATATTGAGAGTGACCATTAACTCGAATAAGATGGGCCTGGTGAAAACCAGTGTACATCTAGTGATTGAAACAGTATATACATACCAACAAAAGTCCAGGATTCAAATAAAATATGCTGCATAGAGTCATTAGTAAAATATTTTCATTATTCTGGATGGTATACCTGCAGTGTCTGATGAACTAGCTCTATCAATTGTTTGGCTGCTTTGGATACTAGACATCTCTCTGATAAGAAAAGCAAATCTACCACATGGCTGGATGACTGGACCAAAGTTTCATCATTCTTCCAAATAGTACCATCTCTGGTATACTCCTGCAGCAACATTCTTCATAAATAACTACAGATGACAATAGCAAAAGAAGATTTTTTCCAGTCTGAAAACTCACTTGAGGAATTGAAAAGTCACATTCTAGAAGCAGATTTCTGGCTTTAGCCAAGATCTCTGTCTTTTTCTTAAATGCAAAGTGAACCTCAACATTTTCAGCAAAATTGCTCAGCCTGTTATCCTTGTCATCTGATGCTGAAATGTACTTGAGCTCTTTTAAAGCAGACTCAAATTCAGATGTACATTTGATGATCTTCTGAAAGTCAGGAAGTTTTGATGCATCTGTAGGGACAACCTGAAATCAGACACCCTGAGTGACTATCTGCAAATTATTAAATACCCACATTCTCTCTTGCTATCAGACACTGCAACAAATCACCAAATAACTGTTCTAGATCATATGATATACAAGGATCTGAATAATCTTATTTTTGTTGGAAGGGATGGCAGAGACCTTATGTGCTTGCATATCATAAGGCAACAGCAGCATTTAATCAAATTTCAATTGAAATCAATGAAATGGTATTTTTATAGATACACATCCTAGACTTGTTTCAAAGCACAGGATGCATGGATATGGTCTTCAATCAAGCTTCTATTGGCATAGAGATGAAGGGGGCAAACCTTAGATAGAAAGCTAGATATTATTAGCTCTGATATCCTTGGCCATGTCAAGCGTCCAAAACATCTCATCCAAGAGCTTTTCTGGAAGCAAATACTTCTGTAAATAAATTTGATAAAGAGCTGCAACCCTGAATAGAGAAATTCTCCATCCAAATATTCAAACTGCAAAATGAAAATCAGATATTTAGAAACACAATAGCAGTTAAATGAAAATGCTTCCTAATTTATCTAAATCAAGCAAGCAACATTCTCCCCTGCCAAAGGTGCTGACAGGCGTCTCTGTCATGGAATGGCAAAGCATGAGCAACATAATTGATTCTATGACCCTAACACATCACACTCACCTTACTATCTGATGATGGAAGTATCTTCAGTACAGCTGATTCTTGATAAAATTCCTCTAGAAAAGAAAGAGGTCGACCTTGATTTACAAAAGGAGTAATAATATACTTCATCGTCAAATCAGCAACTTTAGCAAGCCCATACTCTAGAATACCAACTACCTAAAAATGACATAAATTAGAAGAAGAACATATATACATACAACTGAGCTCATCAATTTCTAAATTTACAACAGCACAACAGGAATAGAATAAAAAGTTCCAAATGGAGTGCACAAAAATATATGAATTAACTTACATCCATTGCCTCCAGAACTGTTTGTAACTTTATCCCATTCACATTCTCAGCTTCTAAATGATACTTGACTTCAACTTGATTCAAGTCCCCATCAAATCGTACAGCCTTTTCCATAAACTTCATGAGGACCTCTTGAATCTACAAACCCAAATCGAATTCCTCTAAAAACAATCACAAACTCAATAAAAATCACAGACTATCCAACCACCATATCATTACTATGACACAAATCACATGAATTGATTATATTGTTAAATATATCATTGAAAGTATAACTTAACCATCGTCTATAAAGCAAATATGAGCTTGCCATATGAAATAAAGCGCATCAACTGTTTCCTACAGAGTGTATTATCAGCATTGTCGTCACATGATTATTATTATTATCATCATTTCATTTAGTTGAAAATTTTCCAAGTAAAATATACTTGACTGAATTCAAACTTCATAAATGAACTCCCAGACCCATGGTAACCATAGGGATAATGAGCATTTTGTTTCCATATAACTGAGTACTTAGTCTTTATATGGGGAGAAATATGGAAAGAAAAATAATGTACAAAGCCATGAAATACTGTATTTGTTTATTGCACATTCCCATACATCAACATGAACTCCATTCCTTTCACACTCGATTGACAATGCATTTCAAATTACCACTCCCCAAGACATATTTCACTTTCACATTCTGAAAGGTTTCAACTCAATTGGCACAATTATACATTCAAAGCACGAAATCCACGCATTAACACATAACTATAAACCTAATGCACAACACGAAAGCATAGTAGTACCTCTTCAAAGCACTGAGACCACTCCTTCCTCAACAAGCCATAGACCAAAGGCTCCCTATCATCCTCCTCACCAACTCTAAGCGCCACCTTCAACTCCTTCAACCCATGCGCCGCGAATTCGAAGTTTCCACTCTTCAACGCTTCTTTCACACTATCCAACCTCTGGTTCAATGCCACAACGGTCCCGACCAACCCTAACAGTTCTCTCTTCACCCTTAACTCCTCGCGCTTGGCCCTCGTCTCGGCCACGACCTCGCGCACCTCCGCATCGATCGGGCGGTCGGAGAGGAGGCGGAGGATGGCGGCGACGTCTTCGGAGACCTCGCGCGTCTGCGAAACGGCGTCGTTGCAGACGGAGAAGAGGCGCGCGAAGTCATCGCGGTGCGAGACGAGATAGGACTGCACCTGAGAGCGGATCTGGAGGGACTGCGACTCGAGGCGCTGGATCAGAAGGCGGAGATCCGGCGCCGAGAGAGGGGAGGTCGGGTCAGAGAGGTCTTGCGCCGAGAGAAGGTCGCGGACGTTGATCGTGTCGAACAGAGACTCCATCGACGGTGGCGAAGACGGCGGAGTTGCTAACGTGCGCTTGGAGTGTGTGTGTGTGTGTGGGGTTGTTGACGGTGGCCAGATGGGAGCGTTTGGACTTGATGGACTTTTTGGTTTTAGCTCTCTGTGACTCGTTAAGACCCAGCCCGGCCCAGTTACTGGAACGGGATTTAAAGATAGGCCCAAAGTTTGTATGCGTTTTATTTTTATTTTTATTTTTAATGAAAAAAGAGATAAATTAAATTAAAATATTATTTTACCCAGCAAAAAAAAAAGTATCCGTAAATATGTGTAGATAAAATCAGCTATAAGTATAAACAATAGATAATTAAATAGATACTCATTTAATAATAAATTTATTTTTAATTAAATATAAAATAAAATAATTTAATTTAATTTTTCAATAAATATACGTGTTATAATTATTTATTTTAATATAAAAATTTATTACCAAAAAACACAGGTATGTTTCAGAGAAGAGAGTCCTGTTGGAACTGGAGTAGACAAAATTGTTCCTCTTCCGAGTATTAAACCAAAAAACACAGGTGTGTTACTCTCGAAGTGAACACATTTGTTTAAGCAATTTGAATTTGATACCTAGTCTCTTCTCTTGGAAATTGCATGGTTTTGTACACACAAATGATTTGCCAGCTGAATTTAAACGCCTCTTTTGTCTCCCACCGCGCCACACTTCCAAAACCCCTCTCACATCCATCTCCCCTTTCTCTCAAAGTTCGGTGCTTTCGCGCCCCTTCTCCTCCCAGTCCCCTTCTCTCGCCACCTCCACCCAAACGACTCTCTCGCCTCGCCAGAACTCAAATTCAGCACGTACTAATCGATTACCTCCACTCCACGCGCGGCCACACCTTCACCGACGCCGAATACATCGCCACCAACTCCCCGCGCTTCCTCCAATCACTGCTCTCGATGATCGACGACAAAGACGACGACGTTTCCCGTTCGCTGCGAAAGTTCCTCAGGTATAACCCCATTAACGAGTTTGAACCCTTTTTCGAGAGTTTGGGAATCGACCCTTCCGAGTTGCATTCGGTTCTCCCACGTGGAGTGTTTTTCTTGGCTGATGATTTTGTCTTACTTGATAACTTTCATGTTTTGTGTAATTATGGGCTCCCCAGGAATAGGATGGGGAAGCTTTATACGGATGCAAAAGAGATTTTTGGGTATGCTAGTGGGTTGTTGGCTTTAAAGTTAGGAGCTTATGAGAGTTTGGGTTTGAGTAGGTCAACTGTTGCCAAGCTTGTTGTTTGTTGCCCTTTTCTTTTGGTTGGTGATGTTAATTCTGAGTTTGTTGCTGTGCTTGATTGGTTGAGAAGCATTGGGATTGAAAGTGATTGGATGGTGAGTTATTTGTCTTGTTCAAGGGCGTATAGTTGGAAAAAGATGCTTGATACCATGCAGTTTCTGAATAAAGTGGGCTATTCTGAGGAACAAATGCGCAACTTGTTTAGGGGGAATCCGAAATTGTTGTTGGAAGGTTTTGGGAGGAAGCTGTACTTGTTTTTCGGTAGGTTGCTTAAGGTGGGTGTTGAGATAAATGTGATTTATTCTTATTTTGTAGAGCATCCCGATATCTTGTCGAATAAGTGTGCGAAAAATTTGTTGAGAGTGATTGGTTTTTTGTGTGCTATTGGAATGGGGAAAGATGACATTGCACACATTTTGTCTGAGTACATGCATCTCTTGAGTACACGTTCCTTTAAAGGTCATAAAACTGTTTGTAAGGAATTAAAAGTTGGAAAAGATGATTTGTGCAGGATCATAAAGGATGATCCGTTGAAGCTAATTAGTTTGGCATCAAAACAGGAACAGAAGGGCGATGGAAAGGTAGATAGTCACGACCCACGTAATTATTTGGAAAAAATGACTTTCCTGCTGAA